AGATGAAGTTGAAGACAGAAGAGAGGAAAATGCAGGAAGAAGGGAGTGAAGAACAAGGAAAAAAAGAGTTGGAAGAGTTGAGTCTGTGTGGCATAACTCTCTGCGAGTTCAAACCTCAGGAAAACAATAACCTGGCCAATGTAAGGTCTAAGAGCCTAAGGAGAAAGTCAAGCAAGAGCCAACAAATGGCAGCATAAATAGTATCTGGATCTCAGACCATAGACTTAGCAAGGACACCTTTAAGGACATGTGAATCTTTGTATACTATCCGAACAGTTCATGGCAGCTTGAATTGCTCCAAGATGTCATTTTTAAATATACATTGTCAAAAAGATGCCAAGAGCTACTAATTGTTCCATATGCATATTTCCCTGTAGAATATCTAATCATTCTAGAATGGTGGGGGTATGGGAAGATTTCCATTACCTAGCAAATGCTTGGCAGGCTGCAAATAGAAAGAAGCGTAGAATTGACTGCTTGGCTGATGTTAAGGACAGAGAAAGCAGCCTTGGCTAATTTGTTACAATTGGGACTTGTTGTATAAACAGATAATCTGAGACCAAAAACCCTAATTAGGAAGGCAGGACCACCATGTATGAAGGTAAGTACCACTAGACTGAATGCATCTCCAACAAGTGTCAGGGTGGGATATGTAAGACTATCAGTGGTCAAATGCAATTTTGTGAGTAATTTGTAATTCCTTTCCTGTAGTTTACAAGACCTGGCTAATTTATGCACAAAAAGAAAAATCGTACCCCACTAGGCAGGACCGTAACTCAGAAACCCATCAGTGTAGGAAGGACGATCAGATCCTTAGTAATGTGTAGCCTGCCATTTAGGATAATACGGATCATTTTAATGTCCAGATTTGACTACGGCACCTACCGTGTTTCCCCGAAAGTAAAACCTAGCGCTATCTTCAGGGATTTCTGTAATATAAGCCCTACCCCGAAAATTAGACCTAGTTCGGGGTAGGTCTTATATTACAGAAATCCCTTAAGATAGCGCTAGATCTTACTTCCGAGGTAGCTGCACATGTAATTGAGTTTTACATGTTAAGAGCGGGTGCAGCTCTGTCCCTCCCCGGCCCCCCCGCACACACAACACGCAAGCCCGCACACATGCCTGCCCACACAACATGCCCCCCCGCCCGCTCAGCTGTTTGCATCGGAGCGGAGAGCTCGACAGCTGCAGCCAGGTAAGACATCCCCCGAAAATAAGACCTAGTGTCTTTTTTCATGAAAAAAATAACATAAGACAGTGTCTTATTTTCGGGGAAACACGGTAGGTGTGCTTTGTAGAGTGCAGTCTACTCCGTTATGTCTGCATATTTAACTACATCTCAAGGTTTTGTACAAATTATATGTTGTACTCCCAGCTAACATGCATATTTTAATTTGTCCTATGTTGGTTTCAGAATCGCTAGTGCCATGTCCTCTGGTTACTGTACGGTGCCCCTCGCTGTCAGAGAAACGCCTTGTCTATCACAGTGACTCACACTTGTGCCAGTGATCTAAATGTCACCTCCTTCCAGACAGACATACAGTGCTGCAGTGTGAGCCTGGGGCGCTGATACCACAGCTAGAGGAGGGCGGGGGTACACGTCACTGGAGCATAAGGGGGAGAGGCAGTGACATGAAGTGATAATAGCAGGGAAGGTGGTGGCATCAACTAACCAGGATTATATGAAAACATGGCATCTGCTGCATCCCTTTAGATGAGTTTTCTGTTGGCATGCCCCTGGCTTATCCCTATGGCAGGCAATGCTGCAAATGTTCCAATCAGTTGTCTTTTATACTTAGCACAAATTTTAGTCCACTGAATTGGGGCACCCCAGCACATCAAAGTTATACAACTTTGGCATGTGCTAGTAACACTGTACACATCTTTGTAACTACTTGGTGTCTCTCTTTGCATTTGAACACTGATATTAGCTACATCACTCTGATTCTCACATTGATACTGATCGTAACACCAACATTTACCCTAATACCAATACTGACCATAATCCTAACACAGACACTGAACCTGACACCAGCACTGACACCAACTCTGACCCTGATGCTAACACTGACACTAAGAACAACACTTACCCTAAAGCTAACACCAACCTTAACACTAACAACACTTACACTGACACTAACACCAACATTGAAATTGACCCTAACACCAACACTGATACTGTCCCTTATGATAACACCAACACTGTCACTAACACCAACACTTACCCTCACACCGGCACTGACCGTAACACCAACACTGACACTAACACTGACCCTCACACCGACACTGACCGTAACACCAACACTGACACTCACACCGACACTGACCGTAACACCAACACTGACACTGACCCTCACACCGGCACTGACCGTAACACCAACACTGACCCTCATACCGACACTGACCGTAACACCAACACTGACACTAACACTAACCCTCACACCGGCACTGACCGTAACACCAACACTGACCGTAACACCAACACTGACACTAACAACACTTACACTGACCCTCACACCGACACTGACCGTAACAGCAACACTAACAACACTTACACTGGCCCTAACATAGTGGTGGATCCAGGACGGAAACAGATTGCGCCCCCCCCCACCCCCCAGATATTGCTGCAGCCTCCCTCTTCCGCCGCTCTACCACCCGCAGTAGTAGGACTGCTGCATGTACGGGCGGCTGTATTGAGATGTCTGGGTGGGTGAAGTCTGTAGAGGGGATGGGGCAGAAACTGGTGATATTTTGCATTGATGATTTGCAACATAATGTAATGCTGGGATTTGTAGTCCTATATGGCAGGTGGTATTCTGTATAATCATTATACAGCAATGCAGAATACCACCAGCTATACAGGACTACAAATCCCAGCAATACATTTTACATTATACAGTAGTGATGCACCAGTGCCGATATTGGGCCTTTTCATGAGTACTCGTAATCGTCAAAATGCCCCCATACTAAGCGAGATACTGGCACTTTAAATGTTTAAACTGAAGCGGCTGCCCGAGGTCCTGTGCTTGCTGGGAAGACTTCGGAAGCCTTCCTGTTAACCATGCGACGCTTGTTTACAGCGCTGGCCACATATCTCCTTCTGCTTGGGGAACCTCACACCCGCCCGAGAGACCCCACACAGCCCTGGTGAGACCCCACACAGCCCTCCTGAGTCCCCACACAGCCTCTTGAGACCCCGCACAGCCCATCTGAGACCCTGCTGATACCCTGCACAGCCTCCTGAGACCCCGCACAGCCATCCAGAGACCCCACACAGCCTTGGCGAGACCCCACACAGCCTTGGCGAGACCCCACACAGCGCATCTGAGACCCAGCACAGCCTCTTGAGACCCTGCAGAGCCCTGATGAGACCCCACACAGCCTTTCTGAGACACCGCACAGTATCCTGAGACCCTGCCCAGCCTCCTGATGCCCCTCACAGCCCGTACAGATGTTTGGCTCGCGCATTACAACCGAATGGACTCTGCACTGTTTATACGCACGAGCCGATTGGCTGAAGATGAAATGTTTCATCTTGTCATGCTCAGCTATGCAGCTCTCGCAAGCTGACTCGCTAGAGTGAAAATTACATGACACACTGCACGCAAAGGTCCACACACAATTGCTCCATGCTGCTTTGTATGCAGTGTGTCACAGTCTTTAGACGGAGGCCAGATGCTGCCTCAGTCCGCATGCCGGGGGCACACGTCTGAGTGCGCTCCCACCACATAAACATACATGAAGACGCATTGGAAAAAAACCCCCACCTCTGTGACGTTACATATATGTGGTAATGCCATGGGAAGGTATTCAAGTAAACCTAAGTCAGTTGCCTAAAAATAGCTCAATGTTAGATAAAGGCCAGTAATAGAAGAACCTGCTATTACAAATTGAAATAGCCAGAAGCAGGTTGGCTATTGCACTGCCCACTGTTTACATTCAGCTGCCGGCGGTAGAATCCTGACACCGGCAGATAAATGGGGCGGGGGCAGGAGGCTCAGCCAATATTAGGCGTATGCCTGCTGTTTACATTCAAAGCGGGTGCAGAATATTGGTATCTGATATCGGCCTGAAAAGTGGCCCATAATCGGTATGTAGGGTTGCCACCTGTCTAGGATTCACCCGGACAGTCCGGGTTTTGAATGCTGTGCCCAGGTTTCATGGCAGCAGCAACCCGGACACAAGATGTCAGGGGCAACCAAAATTAAGATAGGGGCTACTGGCCCCCCAATTGGAAATAGTCTCAACTGTGATATTTACATATTAATGGTTGGCGCTATTTACATATGAATAAGCCACGACTCATTGTGCCCAAAAAAATTTCCGCACATTGCTAGTGTGTTTGGGTTTCGCTTGAAAAAGTGGCAACCCTCTTGGTATCGGTTCTGAAAAATCCATATTGGTTGATTCCTAGTATCTGTCCCCCCTCTGGTCACTAAACTTACCTGCAGTCGTTTTGTTCCAGCATACCCTCCCTCACTCCCATCCCCTTATTATAATTATTTACATGCAGAGTATGCCCCCTTACATGACATTTATATCTCCACTTATACTCTAGAATAGTCTATCTATTTGTAGACCCGTTTATGCAGACTAGCTGTATGGTCGGGTTTGGCGGGGTCGCGCAATGATCCGAGCACGGCCATCAATCATCTAGAGTGGGGCGGAGTCGGGAGGCCACGCTCGTCTAGAGGTATGCGGGGGTTGCGTGTGTCGGTGTAAGCCAGGTCCATGTGTACATGTCCACACAGGGGGAGGGCCGGCTGATCAGGAGTTGTACATGACGAATTAGAAGCCCGCAGATGAGGCTTCCATTGTGTTAGTGCCGGGATTCCCATGTTACTTCCTGGAATCTCAGCCCCGCTGTCATAGACGACCACACACCGCCGTGTGCCCCGTGTCTCGGAAGGGCTCATTGTAATCCCTGTCCGGGGAACGTTCCATTGTGACCAGCGGGCGTTGTGATCCATCGAGGAGGAGGAGACGGTGTCGGCGGGGTGAGCCTGAGGACTCAATCATTGGGAGTTCACAAAGTTCCCCGATCACACCTTGATGGTGACATTGAACGGTGACACGCACGGAGGAGTCACGGAGGTGGATCTAGGAAGTGATCGGAGTCCAGCCGATCCAGTGGAAGTCGGAAGGGGTCTCGTATCGGGGGGCCGGGCTACCTGTGAAGGTGGACGATAGCCACAGTGGGGTGCAGACTGTTTGGACTCAGCTCGGGGATGTTCCATTGCATTCCCCTGTGGCGGTGTAACCGTCATGTGGAGTCCGTGGATAAGAGGCATTGCTCACTACTGTCTGTCCCGGAGGAGATCTACAGGTATAGCCGGAGTCTGGAGGAACTTCTACTGGATGCCAACCAGCTGAGAGAGCTGCCCAAGGTGAGCAATGGCGGAGCTCATCTCCTGAGGATCACCATGACACTTCATGTACCTGTGTGTGTGATGTTTCAGATGAAGCTAGATAAACTCTTTAAAGTCTATTTGTAAGCAATGGAACTCCTAGGTACTAGAAGGAGACGATTGTCAGGCGCAAAATCGTGCAAAAACGCGCATTATGTCCCTTCTTCAGTAACTCCCATGGAAGTCCATTGGACCGAAACGCACAGTATTGTCCAAAAAGAATTGCATGTACTTTTCCAAGCTACAGGTAAAACAACACTAAGGTGTGAACAGACACCTTTACAAATAATGGGGTTTCTCATTTTGAGCCTTGTTGCACTTTGACGAAATGGTCAGAAACGGGGGCCCAGTATTGTTGGATAGAGTATGGAAAACTTAAAACCCCTTTTGGGTTATTGTTTTTGAAATCTCTCTCCAGCTGGGGAGATTTTTCTTTACTTCCTGTTTTGGCGGCCCAGCAGGAAATAAGGAAAAGATCCCATCTTAGACAGTGGTCTGGTGGCCGCTGTCAGAGTACAGTGGCAACAGTGGGGGATTCGTCCATCCACCTTGCGTTTATGGACGAATCTGTTATACTTTCTTTGCTGCGGGTTGTACGCATGAAATATAACCGTGTATACCTGTTTTGGTGACAATGGGCACCAGGACAAACAGAGAGGGTGGCTCTCCCATGACGGTAATACAAACGTGAGAGGGTCTGTCCCTTCCCCAATTTTCCAAAAACTTCCATACACTCTAGCTGGAAGAAAGCATACCATTAGGCACTCGGGGCTCATGTACATGACCGGAAATGGCCATAAAGCCCACAGATTGGGTGTATTTGTGTGCCTGGGGGTGTGGCACTGCTGTGTACAAACCAATGGCAGAATGGATAAAGCATCGGCCATAGGGGTACATACATAAACCCCATTGTTTACCCCAATAAACCCCATTTCCTATTGTACCCATACAGAACTCCCAGTACACATGCAAACCCAGTGGTGTATTTTGGTTTTGTGCTGCCCTAGGCAAGACTAAACTCGGGCACCCCCCTTAATCAAAATTTGCCCTACCCCATCTTGTATAGGACATTTTGCGCAACCTGTAAGTCACTGGATACAGCGCACAGATGGTCTCAGGTGGGCTGTGTGGGGTCTCAGGAGAGCTGTGTGGGGTCTCAGGAGAGCTGTGTGGGGTCTATGGTGGGCTGTGCAGGGTTTCAGGAGGACTGTGCAGAGTTCCTTTCCCTGACACATGTGCTGCTTCTCTTACCTGCAGCTCTAGGTGCCATCAGTACCAACAGGATACATTGCAGTCCCTAGCCTGCTTCTGGGACATCCCGCCATCAGATCACATGCTATGGCTAGCCCCGAGCCACCCACTGCTTCTCCTCCACCTCCTGTACAAAGCCAGCTGGACTGCATCTCACTGGGCCCTCTCCTCCAATGGGCAGCTCTCTAATTAGGCAGCTGCACTTCTGGTCTTGCGGCCGCCTAGGTTGCCTCATTAGGCAGCCGCCTGATTCTGTGCTGCCCAGCCTCCGCCCACTGGGCAAGTACCCAGTATGCCCAAAGGCAAGTCCGGCACTATCCGCCTCAATGGTTTTGGGTGGCATTTTCTGCCACCCCCCTGGAAAGTGCAGCCCTAGGCAAATGCCTAGTTTGCCTTGCGGTAGATACACCCCTGTGCAAACCGTGGAAATTGTGTATATACCCATATAGCGCAGTGTTTAAAGTGGACCTTTACACACAAGAAACACACCTTTTTAGAAATGTTTAGTAATGACAATCTACAAACACATACTTCTAGATAACTGCCGGCTTTGTATTCTTTGTATACCTTATTTCTCTTTTCTTCCCCAGTCTTATGACAGTGGCCATGTTTGCTAAGTTTGCCCGATCTGTACGCTGTATGACCATTTCCACCGTGCGCATCAGGGTTTTTAATTATTTTTTTATTAATGTATTTTTATTATTTGGCTCAATGCCACAAGAAAGGTGTAGGAGGGCCACACGCAAGATCCAAAAATACCAGTTTGACTTGTGTGTTGTGCCAGGGATCCATGATAATTGTCGTCAGTGTGTGCTTGTAATCCCCATCAGATTTTTACTCTTCATTATTGTTCCCTACGCCTTTAATTGTTATGTTTGGTTGAGTGCTGACAAAGTTCGGTGACTAGGCCTCTGTAAGGAAAAGGTGAAGTGGTGCTGGAGGGGACAGGAATACCTGTTGAGGGGAATGTCTTCTAGGTGACATGGCTGGTGGCCTATGGCAGGACAGGTACAAGGCCTGCCTCCGCACATTTCCGTGTTCATCATGGACGCCGGGCACTTGCTGCTGTGAGAGGGAGGGAGTAGGGGAGTTTACAGGCTTATTTACTGTTCCCGTATAGCCATCTGTTGTGTGTTTTCTAATCACGGCACTAGCTGACAGAACACGTCCTGTTGGTGTAGTGCAGTTGTGTGTTTTGTACAGTTTCCATTGATAGTTTCTACTAGAATGTTTTCGCAGTCAGCAGTGTGGATTAAACACTGCTCTCAGTTATGTTACATTATTAGGCGCAATCCCTTGTTTACGTGTATGGCTTATACTGGGACTGGACAAATCTCAGGAGCCAGGTTGCCAATGCTCCCTAAATTACAGCTGGTGCCTAACGTTCGAGGTTTTGTTAATGGAGTTGACTCCTGAATTCTAAATTCATCTGTCTGCCCCAGGCTTATGTCCATTTTCACTTGGCTCAAACACAACAAAACATCATTTTTTGTTTTCTTACACATAAACACTATTTCCTCGTATTCCATGAATGCTTTCAGACACTTTTGTGGCAAGAGTAATATGGGAACCAGAGGTTACTTTTTTGAAAGTTTAATTGTGAAAATAGATAGTTGGTACATGGGTTATCACACCTCTTATTAACTGATTTATTAAAGCCTATCTCCAGGAAGAAGAAAAAAAAACTACCCCATGCACTGCAAGGGTTAACTGTTGCTTTTATGTCTAGAAAGGCTGTGTTAAGGACTTGCTTGATCCCCGTTTCCTGAGAATAGGGGCGGCCCGAGGCCAGGTGTCACCCAGAGCGGAGACCGGGTGACTCCCCGCAGTGGCGTCATCGCACACGCGTGGTCATCTGATTGATGCCTGCCGGCAGAGAGAGGAGGGGGCGTTCACCCGGCGGATTGAGGTATGCCGCCGGGTCCCCTCCTCTCCCATGACATTGTCGGGCTCTTGTGACCAAGTGCCTGACTTTTTAGAGGGGGTGACACCAAAATGACCGTCGGCCATTTTGGTGTCACCCCTCAAATGGCGTCACCCGGGTGCGGGCCGCACCCCACTTGTGACACCACTGCCATCTTGCACTGCGGGGGTAGCCCCCAATGCAAAGGTAGTTTTTCTTTTTCTTCTGGCAATAGGCTTTAAATTGATCCAAGGGGGGTTTTAGTCCAGGTGCTCTATGTTCAAACCAGTGGACATACAGTATGTAGGCATGTATCCAAAGTGACAGTTGTTTTCTTTGTGGCCCATGTCTCCTATTTTAAAGAAGAACTATGAGGTGAGTGGAAAGCACTCACCTCATAGTTCTAGCCGACCTGTGACAATGAGACTGTCACAGGTCGGCTCAGTAGATCGGGAGGTGAGCGAACACATACCGGGTTTGCTTGCCTCTCGATCCTGTCACGGCTCACTCGCGCTGACTGGCGGAACGGACGGGGGAGGGTACAGCTGGCTCTGCCTCTAGATAAGCAGAGCCAGCTGTCACTCACGCAGCTGGGCGGATCCCGTCATCTAACTGGGGATCCGCTCCGGCTGCGGCGTCTCAGTATACTGCGAGCTGTAGCTCGCGGTATACTGAGCTTAGGGTAACGGGAGGACGCTAGTTTGTGTCCTCCCGTTACCCTAAGGAGAACTATGGGGAAAAACACTGACCCCATAGTTCTCCTTTTAAAGCAGAGCTCTGGGCAAAACGGTTTTTAACCCTTGCAGTGGGGCTACCCCTGCACTGCAACAGTTAAGTGCATGTGTTTGTCAAGGTGCTAAAAATAAAAAGAGTTATACTCACCTGATCCTTAGAGCGGGCTTGCTGTTAGACTGGTCCCTGGAGCCTCTCTTCCCCATCTGCTGCAGCTGTCTAAGGTCCTGTGGATCATCACGTCCAATACATATTGTATACGAAGTGAGGACGCAGAGGGACATACCATCGCTGCAGGGAGAAATGTGGCCGCTGGCTCTGAGGAATCGGATGAGCATAACTTTTTTATTTTTTATTTTTATTTTAGCACCTAGACAAAAACAAGCACTTAACCCTTGCAGTATGGGGGTAGCCCCACTGCAAGGGTTAAGAACCGTTTTAACCCTTGCAGTATGGGGGTAGCCCCACTGCAAGGGTTAAGAACCGTTTTAACTGGAGTTCTTTAAGCTGACCATACACTATACAATCCAATTTTACAATGTCTGTACACTCTCCTTAGTTGATTGTACAATCTCCTTTAAATCTACTATTAGATCATATAGTGCAGTGATGGTCAACTTTCTTGATACGCCTCAAGTGCGTTCCCTGACATGACCAAGGGCCGCACATAATAAGTGAATGTGTTGCTACTTAAAAAGCTGTTAGAGACTACAGACATGTAACAGGAGATGGTCAAAGACTGCCGGCATGCTACAAGAAATGGTCAGAAAAAGCAATCTCAATACAAATATTGTTAAACTAAACGTGAGATTGTAGTCCATCACGGGAGCAAGCTTGGTGTGGTGACTACTTTACAACACACGCAGGCACCATGGGGACATAAGTAGCCACCCTCCAGAAGGAAGGACAGTGTCGGCATGAATACAGAGATGAGTTGAGGATCTACAGCTGATGGATACACAAATAAGATACATTTTAATAGCTAAGGTACTTTAATACAGTTTTAACCCCTTCATGACTGAGGCCCTTTTTTTTAATTTTTTGCACCCATGTTATATTCCACATTTTAGGCCTGAAAATGACTTAAAACCCC